CAGCCAAGCAATGCGGCCGCAAAACATTTCATGCGGACCTCATTGACTTCATTGCGGCCGCACTTGATTTTGTGTTGTCCGCAAAGCTCAAGTTCAGAGATGTGCCAAGTTGGAGGAACATTGCCAATGCGGTCTGCGGTCCATTTTGTGTGGACCGCAATAGAAGCCTCCATGACCGCGGTGCATTTTGTGCGGCCCACGGTGGCCAACTTCAGAGAGCAGATTGTTTCAGCCAAGTGCCTTAGTGCGGCCGCACTCGATTTTGTGTGGTCCGCACTAGCCCCGCAGGGGTATTTTTGTCCAAAATTTTCAACCTAGTATAAATAGTTTCTTTTCCTATTTTTAGGTCATAAGTGGTATTTTAACGATCATCTGCGCTCGTGAACAGTACTCCTTTTCTATTTTGAGTAATTTTAGCTTAGTTTCATCATTGAATCTTCAAATTTTATCTAGTAATTAAATATTATGGGTTTTTCTTCATCTATTTCTTTGTTTTCTTCTATAATCATGAGTAGATAGACCCATTAGCTAGGGTTGTGGCTCAACCCTAGTGTGGGTGATTGATGGGTCTTGTGTTTTAAGGCTTGAATGTCTATGAGTGTTTGATATTTGGACTAATTTATGGTTTAAATGTTGAATTAGTGGTTGCAAACACTAGTCTATGCCTAGTTGATTTTGGCTCTTCTTGAGAAAAAGAGCCTAAGTCCATGAAATTGGGGCCTATTCAAGAGATTGATAGCCCCAATTAAAGGGTTAAACTTAGAGATAGTAATACCCGACGTGAACCTCTATTGCTTACACAAATTATCATACCCAATTGGTCTTGAGAAAGTCAATTAGGGCAAAATCACTCGAACTATCGAGAGGTATAGAGTGCGTAGAATCGTCCCAAATATGACAATCTAGCCTTAGACTCGAGAATCCGTCAATTACCTACCTAGGAGAAAGTCATTTCCCTAGTGCCTTTTACCTATTTAGACAACCTTCATTAGTTTACGCTTAGCTTCACTTAGCCTAATTTAGCATCTTAGTAGTATAAAATTAGAAGTAATATCAAAACCAATTATGAATAGAAGTGCAATTAGGAACAATTACGCAACTCCAATTTAGATAGAAACTCAACTCCAATCTTTAGCTCCCTATGGAAATCGATCCTGACTTTCTCGGGTAAAAGTTGTTTCGACCACTCTTGCTACTTGGTAGTAGTACAGGGTTGGCCTCGATCAAAGACCAAACCAACTTGCCCCAAAAATCCTTCTACGCGAACGCGAGCTCTACAACATGATCGCGCTTCACAGTTATCCAAACCTTCGCGATCGCGTTCCAGCCTTCGCGAACGCGAAGGTATAATCTCCCAGCCTCGGCACTTCCTCATACATGATCGTGACACACCTCCCGCGATTGCGCAGAACAACTCACCCATAACAGACCATCCCGAACAACCCTACTCGTTTGCGACTTCTCCCACGCGAACACGAAGAACCTCTTGGTCTATCTTCGCGATCGCGAGACCATTTCTGTGATCACGTAGAACAAAAGTGTAATGACTCGATCGGTCATTTTGTATAATTGCACCCCGTTATCCCTTTTTATACTCCACACATGTATATTTATAGTTTTATGATTTTCGGGGTTGGTTAGTTTCGTTCCGGGAAGCTTTCGGGTTGATTTGGACCCTTTGATTCTTGATTTAAAAGCTTAAATTAGAAATATTTACCAAACTTTGATTTTTGTGAAAACGACCTCGGAATTGTATTTTGATGGCTCCAATAACTTTATATTGTCACTTGGGACTTGGGCGTATGCCTGGAATTGATTTTGAAAGTCCTTAGTTTGAATTGTGTTGATTTTTCAAAATTTGGCAATTTGAAGTTGAAAAAGTTTAACCGTAGGTTGACTTTTAGATATCGAGCTCGGTTTGAGACTTGAAATAGGTCCGCTATACTATTTAGAAATTGTTTGCAAAATTTGATACCATTTGAAGTTGATTTGATGGGATTCTGACGTTTAGTTGTAATTGTAGAGGTTCTTGAACTTTACTTTGAAATTCATGCGTTTTAGAGTTCAATTCATAGTTTTAAATGTTATTTTTGTGTTTTGATTGCGCAAGCGAGTTTGTATGATATTTTTAGACTTGTGTAGATATTTGGTTTGGAGCCCCGAGGGCTCGGATGAGTTCCAAACATGTATCGGAATGGTTTTGAACTGAAAATGTGTTGCTGGTGCTCAGTTATCGCAATTGCGAGCACAACCTTGCAATTGTAAAGGAGTAAGTGGGGGATAGATGTCGCAATTGTGACTTCCCCTTCGCATTTGCGAAGTCAGCATGATTTTAGCTTGGTTCGCATTTGCAAACAAATGTCCGCTTTTGTGATGATGGCCAGTTCGCAATTATGAAGTTTTTTCTCGCAATTGCGAGGATGCATGAGGTTGTCACGGTTTGCAAATGAGAATCTGTGTCGCGACATCTGCAGCTGGTACAAAGGCTGGGAGGCGGGATTTTTGAAAACATTCTCTCATGTTTGAAAATAGACTCGGTAGGAGGCGATTTGAAGAGGGGGTTTTCACCTAAAAACTTTGGGTAAGTGATTCTAATCTATTTTTAATCATATTCCATCAATATATCTTAGATTTTAACATCAAAATCATGTGAATCAAAGTGAAAATTTGTGAAACTTTGTCAAATTTTTGAAAAATAAGAAATTGAATTTTGAGAGTCGATTTGGACTCTTATTTTGAAACTAATCACCTAAATGAACTCGTGGGGTCACGATGCATACCCAACATACCAGAAACCAGCAGTTGCAACATTTAGAGAAATGATCTGAAACCATCCCGAAACACACCCGAGGCCCTTGGAACCTCATACAATCACACCAACAAGTCCCAATACCTTATCCAAATTTATCCAAAGGCTTGAAACGCCACGAAAAATATCAAAATCACGGATCGACGATCAGAATCCTTCTTTCAACTTTCAAACATTCAAACTTCGACGAACGTATCTGAATCATATCAAAACATTCTGGAATGACGTCAAACTTACGTACAAGTCATAAATCATGATACGAACCTAGTCCAAGGCTTGAAATTCCAAACGGACATCAATCACATCAAAATCCACTTCAAGTCAAACTTAGGAAATTTTTAAAACCTTCAAAATGCCAACTTTTCACAATAAGCTCCAAAATGCTCTCGGGCCACCCGATACTCAACCCGAACGTACGCCCAAGTCCGAAAGCATCATACGAACCTATTGGAACATTCAATTCCTAATTCCGAAACCGTTTACTCAAAAGTTAAACCTTGGTCAACTCTTCCAACTTAAAGTTTCCAAATTGAGAATTTTCCTTCCGAATCAATTTCAAACTTCCCGAAATTCAATTCTGACCACATGTACAAGTTATAAAACATAAAGTGAAGCTACTCAAGGCCTCCTACTGCTGAGTGACGCGCTAGAGCTCAAAATGACCGGTCCGGTTGATATATATATATTCGGGTATTATTTTTGAAGTGGCTATACAATATTGTTTTCCAAAAAAAATGCTATGGATAAGCAGGCCCATGATTCTTTAATATCCAGGAGAAATTCAAAAATAGTCATATTTACAAGTGGTCATTCAAAAATAGCCACAGTTTCAAAAGTAATCGAAATTTAGCCACTTTTCATGTAAAGATAAATCTGAACGAAAACACTGTTCAAAATCCGGAAAAATACTCTAGTATTCGCGTGTTGGAGTTCAAGTATAATATGCTAGAAGTTCATATACATGTGCACTAATCTCCAGTATATTATGCTGGAACTTTTCGTGTTGCAGCAAATAATGGATACTTTTCAATGACTTTGCAAATGCTGGCTATTTTTCAATGACCAGTCCAAAAACTGGCTAGCCCATGCTATTTTTACTTAATATCCTGGATAACTGGGAGGCCCACGACTCTTTAATGTCGTGATGTAGGTAAAAAATCAGAAATAGCCAGATTTATAATTTGTAATTGAAAAATAGTCATAGTTTTAAAATTGATCGAAATTTAGCCATTTTTTTATGTAAGATAAAATCTGCACAAAAACACCCTCAAAAATTCGGAAAAACTCCAGCATAATATGTTGTAATTTTATAATGTGCTGGAGTTCCAACATAATATGCTGGAAATTTATACGCAGGAGCTCCATAATCCAGCATATCATGCTGGAACTTTCCATGTGTGGAGTTTCAATATAATATTCTAGAAATTTATACATAAGCTCCATAATGCAGTATATTATGCTGGAACTTTTCGTGTTCAGCATAATAGTGACAATTTTTAATGACTTTGCAAATGCTGGTTATTTTTCAATTATCAGTCCGAAAACTGGCTAGCCCATATTATTTTCACCATTATAAATGGTGAGGACACTACGTTACTTGACATGTGGATTGTTGATTTCAATTGTTAAGGAGTCATTTAGTTCACGGATTATTACACAAATAGCTGGCCTAATTTACTATTTACTTTTTCTAGCATAAAGAGAATAGGTGAACACACACGTGCTCCTTTACAACTCATTCATAACGCCAAACCAATTTCGTTTTTTTACGTAATCAAGGAATAATCATAAAACACACAGTAAAATGCAAGTCGAACAAATAACGCTTTGATCATGAACAAGTCATTTCTAGTGCAAGGCTAATTGCTTCAACAAGATCAACTGCAGATTCACCAACAATCACTTTACCAAGATCTTGGCTTTCAGCCTTTTCCTTCCAGCAGTTATAAAAAGAAATGGAATATAACAAGCAAAGGCTTATCCAAAATTTAAAGCTTATGGGTTCCTCCAACGATCTCAAGTTAATAACTAGATTCACAGTCAAATATTTATAGATCGTTCATGAATTTTTTAATACATGTACAAGAATCAGGGCAAAAGCTACTGGATTCCTCGGAACCCCCATCTTAGCCTCTAGATCCGCCACTGAGAACAAGCATTGTCAATTAGACTGGAGAAAAACACCAGTGAGTTGAAGTAAAACTAATACTCTTATTAGGGGAAATAGCCATCTATATATATTCCCAGAATCAGAAATCAACAGATAAAGAACTACCAGGTTGGTGGCGGCGATTTTACAATAACTTACCGCTCTACCTTAGCGTAGCTTAATACTAAAAAAGAAATGTCATAAACCAAAAGTGTTATTTACATGCAAGTTCTTTAGCATTAGGACTCAGGCTGCTCAGTTTTCACATGTGCAACCGGTGATCTGCAGTTTCCATTTTGAAGGTAAAGGCTGTTGGCAACAATAGAGTCACTAACCAAGCCCGCATCAACATCAAAATTGAGAGCGCCTCTAAGCTTCCGATTGCTGTAGATTAATGAAGGTTTTTCAGGTTTGAGTTAAATTTGTAATTGACATGAAAGATTTTTTTTGAAATGGAGATTGACATGAAAGATTTAGATGATGGAATTTGCAGATAGGTAAAAACCACATACCCATTCAAACGGTTATTGATTACATCCAGATCTTTCGAAGGGCTCTGATAAGCATGAGTGCTTTCTCCCACACAAGCATAATAACTTTTAGAGCTATGGGAAATTAAGGCATCCATCTGAAAGCAGAAACAAGAGATAAATGTGAGAAATAAGGGCTCATGAAAACTTGGAAGAAAAGAAGAAGAAGTGGTATTTATTCAAGCTCCTACCACTATATTATAAAATCAAAAAAGCTCAGATTTTAAAGGGAAATTCTAAAATCCCAACTGTTGCTCCGCTGGGTTAGTGAACACTAAAACTAGCAATAGACAAGTAGCTTTCTACCATCACAGGGACAAGCAATAACTAGAGAAGTTAGCAGGCCAACAGAAAATTTCATCGACTTGGCACAAAGCTATCCTCTCCNTTAGGTTAAGTAAGCACCCTAAATAAAAGGAAATCAAATCTCCTAATCGAGAAAAAAAGCATATAGCATATAAAAAGAATGTCTACCTTGCCAAAGAACACATTTATTGCTGTCTCAGCACACGTTTCCCCTCCACCACCAGGGTTTGGTCTAGTTGGGCTGTAAAAGTTCAAAAGATCAACCCTTTAAAGCGAATACAAATCCCTGAATTGAAGAGTAAATAAAACTAAAGAATCCAACTATAAATCAAAATTACCTTGCGAATGCAGACTGCAAAGCTGGAGGGGGAAACTTTGATTTTATATTGTTGAGAGCCAGAAAACGATCCTTCACAGGTGATGTGAAGGAATTTCGCTCAACCAAAACACTGCGATATTCGGAACACACTTTCTTTGGCGACCGGATATCACCGATTTGACCTAATAAGATTAATTTGAGAGAAAGTTAGGTTACTTTTCATCCAAAGAGCCTAAAAAGGCATAATTCAGAATTAATAAGTCATTTCATTCAATGAAGCTTCGAGATTAGGGGCAAATATGATACCGTTAGGGGCCAAGTTGTTCTTGTGTAGAGAAGGCAGTGGCGGTAAGCTTCCTGAAGAAAGGTTTATGTGCATTGCAATTGCATCCAAGGATGGCATTGGTTCAGCCAACAAGCCCATGCGATTGATTTCTGCGGCAAGTGATGGTTTTGCGACAGCCAAAGAGTTGTACATTGAAGATCCCTTTTCCCAAACCATGCTCTCCAAGAGTCGTTCTTCAAGTGAATTCAAATGTCGTCTCAGTTCTCGAGGAAGACTTTCTTCATGCCTGATGAAGCTCTCTATCACCTTACTGAGATCGAAAGCTGTGATTCCTGTTCTCTCTAAGACAGCAGGAAACAGCATAGTAACTGTTTTGTGAGTGGCAAGAACCAGTTCAGCTGAACAGGCGAGCATACATCTATGAAACCTCTCATTCGTTAGCAACGAAGTTAAATTGCTCCCATTTAAAATCTGGGATTCTGCAGTGCACATAGTCTGCAGAACCCTATAATACAGCTTCAAAGCCTCGGATCTACGTTGCTCTGCCCATATGTTGTCCATTAAGCTCGTACTTTGCAGGCTCCCACCAGCTGCACAATGTTCCGCAGGACCACTACTTGGAAATATAGCCTCGAGAATAATCTGAGCTCTCCGGATCACGTCAGCTGTTACATCTCTGTCACAGGAGGACAAGAATCTCTCCAGCTCTGCTGAAGGTTTTGGTTGTAGCGGAGCTATGACAGTACGCAACCACCTGGCAGTTGTCATCGCTGTGCTTACAGGTGTAGCTGCTGTCATCTTTGAGTTAGCACAATTTGGAGAACGGTAAGGAGAGAGTGTACTTGTAACCGTTTTTGCTGGGGAAGCCATTGCATCAAATTTTCTCTACACAAACAGAAGACAAACAAAAATGGTTTCAAAGAGTGCTTACGGCATTATGGCCTCAATAAATCAGGAAGATATCCAACAAACCTTGATTCCATTCATGTTGACTGCACCTCCAGACAAGCTTCCTGACCCTAGCAAGCTATCCTCCTCATTGACAAAAATCCTCTCATCCAATTCACCCTTGTTCTGTATTGCATCACTGTAATCCTTCTCCAATATACTTACACTGGAAGATAAACATGATTCTTCCATTAAATCTTCAAAATAGGTTAAACCATCTGCAATAAAAATTCTAACTTTCAGTAAAAGCACCGACTCGGAGAAAAGGCGAGACATCAGTGATTTTGAGACAAACCTGTGTCAAGGTTGTCCAGGTTCTCCGTCCTAAATTCTGAAGCCAAACAAGGTTTCTTCTTCAACTTTTCTGTTATTAGATTGTTAACTTTGTCCATGGTCTCCCTTAAATCATCTATTGAGGTCTGATAAATTTTGCTTAATGATGCAAGCAAGTCCACTTTGTCTCCTTTCTTAACTGTAACAAAATCAGCATTAGCACAAGGTCACAACAGGATCACGGAACAGAAGTTGAAGAGGTATTGGACCAAAACCCTACTCTTTTAATGCTTAATATACATAGATAATTACCAAACCGCGAGGAGTCATTGATGTTGAAATTTCTGAAGCGGACAGGTACATGTATTATTAAGATTGCCTGCACAAGGTTTTATGAAGCCAGTAGTCAGACACATCAAATATCTCATAAGAGCAACATGGTACTATCCAATCCATAAAATGGAGAATGATTAACTGTTATGCCACTGATGTCAAAGACAAAAAGAGTAGAAATGTGCCAAGGTCCAGCTGGTTTAAATGCAAAGTTGTAGCTAAAGCAACCTATTGGCCTCATATAATTTATCAATTTCCAAAGAAAAAATGTTGTCTCCATTGAGGTCCACCTTAGCACGTTGACGTCTGTATTAAACAACACCTAAGTAATGCGAAGCACCTAACCTAACATGGACCTATTTTAAGGGCTTCAACACACCTTTAGCAACATTGCACACAAGTTATACTGTCTATAACGCATGACCAGTACAACATGAACATATAAACAAAAGAAATCAGACAATCCAAACATTCAACTAAATTGTTGAGAAACTTACCAGCACTGAAACTAAACCATTTGTGCATGTCACAAGGTCCTTGAAGCGGCTGAATACATGGATGCGAAGTGAAAGAAATAGCAACCAGCCAAAACGATAATATTGCGGCAAGTGGATAGCAGAATTAGAAGTAGCAGAGGGCTTATCTTCGTTGTTACCACTAGCCAGAAACAGTTCTTGGTACGCTCGCTTGTAGTACCTAAAAACATAAGGAAATGGGAGGTCACGTTGGGTTCAGATAGCTGGCTCATTCATACTCTTATCTTAGTCATCTGGGCACGTTCTGTATTAAAGAGAAGACCCTAAGATAGGAAAATACTATCATGCCCCTCAAGATATACAAGCTAAGCACCAGGAGAAACCAGACAGGATACTTGGCCTACTGCATCAAATATGACGTTCAAAAGATTTCTTATATCAAACTAGATTAAGATTATGAAGTTGTGCAGCAGAAATGCTTAATCTACCAACATTTAAGATACTGTAAAATACCACAAAGCTTCATAAGTAGAGGAAACTAGTGCGTGAAAGAGTACCCACTTGCTTAAAAGGCTCAAATGCACGAAGTTGGTCTGCAATTCCTTTGCCTAGTACAACAATTTAAACAAATAAAAAGTCATCAATAGATGCTTAAAACAACAAACAAAAACATAACATATTACTAACTACAGATAGATTTCAACTGAGCCAACAGAAACGTAAATAGCTTCAGAACACACGACTAATCCTCCACAACATCATTACCTCAAGTCTCTTCTCCCAATCTGAACCGTACAGATTGCTTAATGTTGGACCAACTTTTAGAATAAATTGCGGAAGTTCTTTGAAGAAGTCTACAACACTACAACAAACGAAACATAATTAATAAGAACCTCGATAAATCAAGACTTCTACACAAAAACAAATAGGATACTGAAAATTAGAAAAAGAATACCCACTTGAGTTTCGCCCCCCGTAAAATCTGGCACAAAGAAAATGCATTTCCTTCATTTCCATTACTCGAATTTCCCGCTTCCTTCTCACTTAATCTCTTTACCGAGTACAGAACAAACACAAACCAATACCGTTCAACTCCCTCCTGCTGATCAAGAACTCAGAATCAATTCATAGTATGCATTTTCATATAAAATTTGGGTAATCAAACAAATTTACGATATGCAAAACAAAGAGAGCATATCACGGGAATTACCGTTATAACTCCAATAGCAGAGTTATTTGACAGTAAAAGATGTTTACTGTCATTAAACAGCTTTGTTGCTTCAGTTACAAAGCTTTCACCCATGGACAAACCATTCTGTAAAATCAAACAACAAATGTTAAAAATAAACAAAAATATTAAATAGAAACCCCGCTTAAAGAATTAATTTGAACACACCATATCACAAAAAGTTTTTTTTTCATGATTACGGAATACAAGAAAAGAACAAATTGCAAGAATAAATAACAAAAAAAGGTCCCTTTTTCAAATAAAAAATATGGATAAAGGAATACAATTGTAAAACAAAAAGTGGAAAGTAATTAGGTGTATGGGGTTTCACTTAAACTGTATAAGAATTACAAAACTAAATAAATGAACAATCTTGTAACAACAAATCAACCAAAGAAAAATAGAACAAATTTTGTTCTTTTAACTGAAGCAAGAATAAAATTTGAAAGTAAACAAAAGAATCAATTTTTAACTGAAGCACTCGGGAACTAATGTCAAAATCAAAATCAATGAAATTGGAATTAAAACAAACAAAATAAACAAAGAAAAGGAAACACAAACAAACAAACCTTGCAGAAATCTGTGAATCGAACTTCAAGAGAATCAACACCACCATTCTCTTCAGAATTAGAACAATTATTCAGCTCCACCATCTTTATCAATAATTGCAAAAACAACCCCAAAATCTGAAAATTTTGCACTAAAGGCAACAATAATGTATCAGATCTGAAGAATTAGATCTGAATTAGTGAAATTCACACAAGCCAAAAAGAACCCTAATTTTCTCCTTGTTCTTATTTTCACTTTCTCTTTCTATCTCTAAAGCTTTCTTTGGTTTTTTTGCTTTTTTTTATTTGTTCTGTTCTGCAGCTATAAACCCTAACTTTAGCGCGGGAAAACGTACATAGGTGATGTTAAATGTTAATGTCCATACATAGCCGACTAGGTGAGGAAAGCAACGAATCAGAAAGTGACACGTCTTTATCTGTTAGGTTTTTTACCGCCATTTCCGTGGACTCCCGCGAAAATATACCGTTTGTTGAAATACTACATTACACGGATTTGCCCGTTACGATTTATTGTATTTATCCGAAACGGCTTTCCTATAGCTTTGGTGTTTTTATTTCAAAAAAAAAAAAAAAAATGATATGATTTGTTTACTTTTCTGTGAAAAGATTCAGCTAATAAATTACAATGTCCAAATGTGTTTTGTTGCTTCTTTTGTAAAACTAATAAGGAGCTTGGTACATGTGTTTTCTTATGAGAATTTTTCATAATTTTCATATTCCTGTCACAATTAATGTGATGGTATTCAGATTTCAAGAGAAACAAGTTATGTTTTAACCATAATTTTTTATATGTCATTTAAATATTTAGAAGTCTTACTTTTCTTAAATTCTATTGTCAATTAAAAAATGACATATAAATTGAAACGGGGAGAGTAGTGTTTATATTATTCTATAAGGCCTAGGACTGATTTGGACAAATCTAGGCCCATAAATGATCTGGACATTTGGCCCAATTCACAAAGGCCCACAAACGGGCGCCTATTTGCAATTATAGCACTTTGCTTTCTCTCTTTTTGTTGAGGAAGAAAATGACCTCTAAGAGACCCATGGGAGACTATATTATTATTTATGGAGAAATGATATTGTACAGCCACTTTCAAGAAATATATAAAAAATATATATTCTTTGTATATTTCTTGTATATATACATATTCTATATGTTATATACAAAAATTATATAAATTTTATATATTTTTTCGACTACCTAATGTAAATAATTTCTGGCACAGGCTAAAAATGAAAAAAGTCCTATATTATCACTGCTTCTCGATTATTTTTGAAACTGTAGCTATTTTTGAATGACCACTTGTAAATCTGGCTATTTTTGAATTTCTCCACTGTGGATTGTAATATGTCAAACTCTTTTTAGTAAGTAATATAAAAATCCTATTAGTACTAAAAAAAAAAAAACCAAGGTAGTGTTCGGATTGGGCCACAGCGATGGACACTTTTAGCATAGTGTGTCGTCTAGTATCGTTTCGCAAAAAAAGTTTTAAATGGAAAATAATGCGAAGTAAATGTCAATTTAGACATAAAGTAAAGCCTTAAAATTAGCACGGTCTGTCCCATATTTAAACGAGAATAAATTCACAAAGCGCTACTTTTCAACCCCTATAAACTTCAGAATATTATCGTGAGCTTCACTCGTGAAACTTGAAACTTCATGACAATATATTTTTCAATTACAAGATTGAAAAGTGGCTAGCCCACTCAATTATCCCTTTATAAACCCAATTGAGGCAATATATATACCAACATCAATTTCTTCTTTTCAGTAATTTCTTCTCTGATAACATCTTCAAATAGGTTTGCAAATTTTATGTTTATTTTTCTAATAAATCTTTCTTCGCTCCACTTACGAAAAATCTTTTTAAATGAACATTGTTCACTCTTATGTCACTTCAAATAGGTAGAAGATTCATTCTTGCTACAAAAATATTTAGTGATCTCCATTTCAAAAGATGCACAAACATAAACCTTGCATAATATAATCAGATTATATTGAAAATATATGTATTTTTCATTTATTGTAAGTGCTATTAGGCTATAATAAATGGAAACAATACATTTAATTTTCTGTCGAAAAAACAAAAAGAGAAAAGCTAACAGAGTTGGGGACTTGTTGAGTGAACGATATATATATGGGACTTGTTGAGTGAACGATATATATATAGGACGTTGTATCGTGAATAATATAATTTTAAGCGACAATACATTCACTATAGGCAGGCAATTTCTTCACATAACCAAGTAAAAAGAATTGCGTAAATCGTATACTTTGTCTCATGAAAAGCATTACTAAAGAAATGATTAGGCTTGTTTAGGCCACCTCCTGAAGCGTGGTGCCTTGGGTCGATAAATGTTAGCCTTTTACTACTAGATATTCGAGAAAAACTGTCCAAAAATATCGATCAAAGTTGATCGGTAATGACCAATAACCGTCCAAAATGCATCCATTAATATATGGTCGGTATTTTGCAAGTCGAAAGGGCATACCGACCAAAGTTCGCCGGAAATTACCGACCAACTTTAATCGGTCAATTAAATTCAAAAAAATTGCCGTTGGTCGATTTTTTCGACCAAAGTTGGTCGGTATTTTAATTATGTAATTAAAAAATGCACCATCTGGGAATCGAACCGGGTATGTACTATGGCATGATACTATTCTACCAATAGACCATTGGTGCATTTTGTTTTAAGACTTGTCTTTTATTTTATTTATACTTTTTAATTGTATTTTCGCATGAAAATAACTGACCAAAATTAGTCAGTTTTATTAAAAAATAAAATTACCGACCAAATTCGGTCCGTTTTTAAAATGATCGGCCGAATTAACAAACCATTTTCAGTTGGTTTTTTAATATTAATTTTAATTTATTTTAAATGAAAAACTGACCAAGTTGGTCGGTTTCTTGAAAAATAAATTTCGTGGGACTCAAAAATAGTTTCCCGCATTTGTGTGCCAAAGAAAACCGACAAAAGTTATTGGTCGGCTTTTTGGCCGATTTTTTTACCGTCCAAAATTAATAGGTCGACCATGGTTGGTTTTTGCTGAATTCTAGTAGTGTTTGATCAAAAGGCATGCTTTCTGATAGTCTAGGGAAGTGTAGATATATCCCATTTTTTGGGTCACCAATGTCCTTATACTCGCATTGCACAAAAAATTATAGTTTTACCCACTTAAAACACACTTTAGATGTCATGTCTCATGTTCCAAAAATTCGTGTGTGAAGTAAGAAATCGAGTAATTTTTGCGTCTAAAGTTCTCCTCGTGATTGTGCAAATTTCAGACGTGAAGTTACAAATTTCGAGTAATGTTCACTTCTAAAGTTCTCTCCCCGGTAGTGCAAACTTCAGACAATTGCGCCTGAATCAATGACCGATCAAGATCGAGACCGGTCAGTTCATGACCGATCATGACATGGGGATGGATTGCTAAGCTCATGAATCAATGACCGATCAAGATCGAGACCGGTCATGATCAAGATCGAAGCAGGATAGAGAACGAGCGAGATCGAAGAGAGCCTGCTAGGTCGAATAACAGGAAGCCGAGATATCCGTGATCGGGCAAGGATCATGGTGGAAATCTCGGCACGTATCAAGTCAAGACCGAATATTAGCCAATCATGGGATTTCCTTCTATATTTAGAATGGTACCATAAGTAGAATTCCTCTACTATATAAGGGGGTTCTAATCATTTTGTAACCATGACATTTATGCATTACAAAGCAATATATTGCATTTTCTCTCTTAAGCTATGTTGATTGGTTTACACTTTTCATTAGCATACATAGTTGGCCCGAGGGTGGTCTAGCTCGAGGGTCATAACCGTTTATTACATTGGTTTGCTTTATATTACAGTTACTTTTAACATTAATTCTCATATTTCTCAGTTTGTGCCAATCACATATCCTTAAAACCACTTATAAATTTAATTGTTATCCCATTTTAAGGGTAAACAGTTTAGCGCCCACCGTGGGGCTAAGAATAATAGTGATTGTCTCGTACTATTTTCGTAATACACACTATTTTACGCTTGTTCTTTGAAGTATATTTGACAGAAAACATTGTGCCGCCTGCCGGCCTCGATGGAGTCCCGACTGTAGACCCAATCGACGTTAGTTCACATGTGGCCATCAATGGAAATGTGGTCGTAGACCCCGAAACCAGTGTTCGTGGGGTACCCGATCAGCAACTCAAAATGCACATGGGGGTGAAGATGACGGTATCAGCCTACGGGTAATCTTCGAAATGTTATAGGCTCAACAGGAAGCAATAGCCCAGCTTCAAAACCAGAACCACGCCCCGAACAGGGTCGAGCTCGAACCGTCCCAAGAAGTCATACACAGGGTTGAATCAGCCTCGAGGAAACCGAATGAGAAAGAGTCGGAGACCAATCCTACTATCATGAGGATGTTCAAAAAATTAACAAAGCGAATCGAGACGGGGGAAAAGAAGATCGAAGAAAACGATAAGAATGTCAAAACTTATAACTCCAGGGTCGACCAAATCTGGGGGCAACCGCTGATACTGAAAGGACTAGATTCTAAAAAGTTTGTACAGAAACCTTTCCCCCCAAGTGCGGCTCCGAAGCCAATCCCTAAGAAGTTCTATATGCTCGAAATTCCAAAGTACAATGGGACGACAGACCCAAACGAGCACGTCACCTCATACACGTGTGCCATCAAGGGAAATGACTTGGAAGATGACAAGGTTGAGTCCGTATTGTTGAAGAAATTCGGGGAGACTCTATCGAAGGGTGTTATGATATGATATTTGTTACATCTCGTAAGTTTAACAACCTTGATACCGTTACATATATATTTGATGTGGTATTTTGAGTGGAGCATTTTTGTAAAGAAGAAAAATGTTTTGAAAAATATAGTTTTATATAGTTTTTAATATTACTACTTTCGAATATGGTTTAAATTGTACACAAAATATGAGAAAAGTTTATGAGATTTTCTTTATTGTAAAGACATGAATTATTATTTTTTTCACAAGAAAAGAAGGTTATCTTTTCTTCTTCTTATTTTTTACCATTTTAAGAATTAAGCATATGAAAATTTGTACTCTTTATATGAGATTAGGAAAATTAGAAGTTGAGAAAATATGTGCATTTTTTTACATGGATGTTTTAATGAAATAATAAGTGTATGTATTTATTTTGTATGGTACCACATGACCATGATAATAAAGTATATTATAGTATGATATATAAAGTATTTTAAAAGTGAGTAGTATTTTAGGTAAGTTGAGATAATTCTTAATTATGCGGGTAATTAGTTAATTATCGGGTAACAAAA